ATATTTTATGTGTGATTAGCCCCACCCCTTACTGGTTCGTGGGTAATGCAGTCTTATATAAAACTGGTCCATGATGCAAACTAGGTTGGGTCCAGTGCTTCTATTACAGCCTTTTTCTTTAACAGAACACTAAAACATGTTTCAAAGCTACTGCCTACAAGAGTTCATATTTGGCTGCCAACTGCTTCTGAATACATTTGATTTGATCTTAATTTTCATCGTGTGCAGACATGATGACCCATGCCTAAAAGCACCTCTTTAGGTTGAAATGCCTTTTCCATTGACTGAAGGTGTTACCCAAGCCTTTAATGTTCGAAATGTAAAAAAAAAAAGCACAGCCCACTTTACCATTTCACTCCCATCCACTCATCTCTTTTCTACTTCTTATCTTTTACCTCCATCCTTTGAAAGGATGCTTGAGTGTCTTCTTTCGAAATGCATAACAGTACAGTGCAAAATATGTGAATATGAACCTAGCACTAAGTGAGAGATCCCTGGTGAGCAGACGGCAGAAAACTTGCTTCATTTCTGTGTTAATAACTGCCAAATTCAAGAGCGACAAGGCAGGAGACACTCAACCTATGCAGCCTTATATAAAGTCAAGTTTGCATAATTTATCATCCCATTTCCTAGGAAACTCGTAGAGCTCCAACCAGGCGGTGCATTTGCTGTTATTACTTAGTTCTGGAACAGGTTCTGTAGGATCCAGAATTAAGATACAGCACGAGGTGTCAGTGAATAAGATTGTACATGTCCTGATTTTTTGAGGACGACATGACTCTTGGACTAATAAAAATGCAACGAAACATATAGTGTTGATAAATCTAAAGCAAAAATGTTTTTAAAAGAAAACGTGTCCCACCTGAGTCTTTTCAGGTAAAAAAAAGGTAATCTAGTATTCTAGTCAGCCTTTTCAAAGGTCACACCTCCATCCTATGAATTTAAATCTCAACGGAAAAAGCTTATCAAAGCAATTTCTCCTGCCATGCACACGACCAAGCCAGATTGAAATAGACCATGCTGAAGGCTATTTCACCACCCCTGTCTGTGACCTGAGGACGAGCGGAGAGGAGACAACACTAGACTCCACTCCTTGGATCTAGCCCTGACAGACTGACGTGTCACACTTGGAACTGTGCTTTTCAGGGAAGTAGAGATGTCAGGGAATGAAGTGACAGAGAGGCTTCTGGGATTTTATTTATATTGTCTAATGTCCTTTTTTCCATGAAAGTGAGTGTTTTAGTTACACATCTCAATTCAGAAAATGTTTTAAAGACAAATTCTAAAGCAATGGCTGCAGGGAAAGTGATTTTTAACTGGAGAATGGGACAAAACTTCCAAACAGACCAAATCCCTAAAGCCTAAAGCCACTTGCGATGTCTGATTAGAACAAAATGTTGAATTGGTGCATCTGGATTTGACCCATCTGAAACTTTACACTATATTCACGCAGAATCCAAACTGCTAAAACATTTGAGGACTTTACTGTCAAGCACAAACTACATGACTAAATAATAAATTGTTGGACATAACAGCCATTTTTATTCAATTAAAAAGGGGACATTAGCTGGTTTCACTGCTTATTCAGTGTCGACATAATATCCCAAGTTCTCTCATCAGTTTGCCTTTCTGTAATTGCAGAACAAGCATGCACTTTTTATGCACAGATACTATGCCAAATTATTGTCTCCATAAACAGTTTATGGCCCCACTTCACTGGATGCACAAGGTTTATTATTAGCTGGCTGTTTGCTGGTTGGCAGCATGGAGAGAGTGAAAAAATGCAAACACAAAACAGTCAGAGTGGGAAAAGAAACTTGACAGTCAGTCAGGGCAATTTATCATTCTGTCAAACTTCACTGACTGCCGCAGCAGAACTATCTACAGCGCAAAAAAATAAATAAATAAATAAAAAAATTCAAATCCCTGCCCCCCATTCCAAAATGGTTGACTGCTGAGGAGAGTGAGACCCAAAAAACATCAAACCTGCAGAGGAAACATGTCACTTTACAACCATCATGCCTGCTTAACCTCAATCCAAGTAAAGCTTCAATGTCCACTAAACCCAAGTAAGAGCAAATGTCTGTGTTGGGAGTACAATATAGTAAATGGGCCGTGTTTATTGGACACATTTGTTATCCGAGTAGCAGCATTGTTGGGTAAAGAAGCTGCCATAAAGGGCAAAACATGCATTTACAACATTCTGAAAATGTGGAACTATGATTTTTATTTTTTCATTTATTTTTTGTCTTTTTCAAACTTCTCTTTTTGTCAATTATTTCCGTTTATGGTTTTTTTCTTTGCTCTTAGAGGTCATACAGAAAATAATTATTATTTTTGATAATGTTTTTTGTTGAGTCTTTGAAACAGTAAAGCTAGTATTTTACAAAGCTAGTTTTTATTTAACTGAAGTTATACTTTATTGTACTGAATACATGCCCTAAAACCAGCTGCCTTGGGGGAAAGAACTGCTAACAAGCAGACTGATTTCCCATGTCATATATGTATCACAGAGCAATGCAACACATACTTCAACAACATTTCAGCACAAACAATCACCATGGGGACTCGAGTGATGGTAGCCCATGCCTAGAAAATTGCTGTTGCCTTCAGAAACATAATTTACACTTAGCCAAGTGTTTCTAAGCTTTGACAATGAATGTGGGTGATATAAGTGATGAAGGTTTGGAAGATGTTGACAATCTGCTAAAACAAAGATTCCTAGGGTCATCTGTTGGGCACGTTGACAGCAAGTTACCAACCGAGGGGAATTAGGGTCAAAAATCCCTGGGTGCGCGATTTTCAAATGAGTACTTCGTCAGAACCTTCAGCCTCCAGCAAAATGGCAAGCACATCAGACTTCCTTTAATCACTGGTAACGAGCAAAGAGGTAACAACAACATTTAGGAGTGGTGAAAGTTTTGTAACCGTTTGTTACAAATCAGTAAATTTGTCTTTACAGGCTCCCGTAGAAGGAAACATGAGGTCTAATATGGCATCGCCCAGAGACTTAGACCCACTCCCATGTATTTTAGACCCGATTTTGAAGGCAATATTTTACGAGGCCGCTGATGTAATTTTTTCACAACTGGGCATCATTTAATTCATTTTCAACCACATTTTGTTGGATATTTCAGTAAGAACTATACATTGTCTCTGAAAGTATTACTACAGATGCTATTAAACTCATTCACTGCCAGCCATTTCCTGATCAGTAAGGCCCTTCGCTGCTAGCGTTTTTCAGCATTTTTACTGTTTTTTTAGGAGTCATAGAACGTTGCGTTCTATGATGATGTCAACGCCAAAACTAACAGAACAAAGAGTAGACTCACCTCTTACATCAGGAAGAATCCGTGCATTTCGAGCTTTATCCGTTCTTTCATAATCCGTTGTCAAATTGTGATTGGCATTTTTTTACTGCAGCGGCCAAAAACGATCTCCTAACACATGGATTTTCTGCTTCCTGGTCACGTGACGTGTGACGTTCGCGGATGAAGATCGGCTTTAGAGCTGGGATATTTGTTCTCACGGTGTGGGAGCTTGTTCCGATGCCCACACAGTAAAAAAATGCAAATGACGACTTTAACCGTCATTGGTAGTGAACGGTTGGATTTAAAATGACAACTTTTGTCCAGCCTTATTGTTGGCAGGCTGGATGGAGGGGTGTATGGATAGGTGAATGAATGGGTAGATACATTTATAAAAGTTTGATTTACTTTCAAAAACGTGATATAATAGTTTAGTCAGACAGAAGTAGTGTTTTTTAAATGACTTCACAGAATTGCAGTTGGCTCTGTTTACATTCTGCTAGTAATTACCAAAATATATAGACCTTGTGTATCCATTAGCAATTAAATCCCCCATTTATGGTTCCTTTCTAGTCCACTGAAGGTCTGCCATTATTTGATGGATCGTTTAAAACCACCCAAAACATTTCTGTGTGTTGGGACTGCATTTATGAGCTGCCTGAAAGCTGACTGGAGTGTAATATCCTGCATATCCCAGTGAGTTAATGGAATTCCATTGATGGGTAATTAGCCTATTACAACTTTCTAGTTGTACTATGTCTTTCGGACAAATCACCTTTATTTCGACTGAGTCAAAGATCCCATGGCAAATAGCTTCTTGTCTGATGTGCCAGGAGACACTCTGTCATTACACTAAGTTGTGGGCCCTTTTATATAATTTCCTTCCCTGGCATACTTCAAAGTGTGGACACTTCAAAGTGGAATGAGCGACTGCCACTTGGATTGCGAGGATGGCTCTTTTGATCATCTTTTGAAAACTCCCCTAAAGTAATCAGGGCTAGCGCACCAGAGAGGAGGATTTGACAACCACAAGATAAATGCATTCACCCTCACATCTATCAGATAAGCACTGCATGCTCTAATCCATTAATATGAAAATGAGGGAGGACCAGGAGTGGCTGGGTGGGGGCTCTGCGGTAACAGTTAAACGCTTTGGAAAGAGTTTTCAAAGGATTCAGGGGGTTTAAAGAATTTAATTAGGTGTCTGTGCCCACTGATATTAATAATAATAATAATAAAGACATCATTTGTAAGGAACACCAAAAGACAGCTCTGTCAACGCAGAGGTGGACAGAATAGCATAACTGATGAGTGTTACCTTCTGAACTCATCACAATGTTTCATTTAGTGGCTTACAATAACAAATTCATCACATATGGAATACCTTTAGAAAAGTTGGTGAATACTTTTATGAATCTGCTGAACTATTTCAATAACTGTGAGCTTTACTGAACAAAATCCACTTTTTTATGAATAAAATTCATAAAGTAACAATCCCAGTGTCCCCTCCCTTCTATGTTTTTATCTACCGATTAAGAACCATTCCTCATCCATCCATCCATCCATCCATCCATCCATCCATCCATCCATCCATCCATCCATCATCCATCATCCATCATCCATCCATCCATCCATCCATCAATTTAACCTCCTATCCATTCACTCAGCATGTTATTGGTGAAGTGAACTCACCTAATGGGGTTATATGCCTCCAGGAAATGCTTGGCTCAGGTTTCCCGCTGGCTGTGCAGATGAGCGACACGTTGCTGCCCTCGTTTACCGTGATGTCAGAGGAAATGTCATATATCTTGGGAGGAACTAGAAAACAAATAAAAAAAGAACAAGATTAGCATTTAAAACTGAAACTTTTCATTCAGGCACTCTGTCATATGTGTGTTTTTCATTAATCAAATCCCTCAATTTGCTTTCCTGTACATTAAAATCACACATGTAGCACTACACGCACACTCTGATTGGGTCTGACAATAACAACTTGGTAAATTTTCTCTGTAGGGAAAAGTTTGATTTTCCCTTGGCCAATCACTTGTAATCAGCTGCTCTGGTAGCATGTTCAGTCAGGACAAATGTTAGAAAAGCCTGCACAGCTAAAATACGTACAGCAACACCAACTTACAGAGAGTAGAGGCTTGGAAATGTGTCTTAAAGTAAAGGAAGATAAAAGAACTGTATTCTGTGTAACATGACACCTCTAGGGGTCTTCTTCTGGTTTAACCCTCTGGAGGCAGGCGTTGCAGATTTGCAACATTAAAACCTACCTACCTGGTTACTCCACATACAATTTAATAAGCATTTTTTTTTACTCAGAAGTACCCCTGAAGGACTTTGTTGTTCGTCCTTTTATCAAAACCTATTTTGAGCCTGAGAGGGTTAAACACAGACAACAACCTGAGTAGCCTTTAATTAACCATAGAAAACACTTACTTTCCTCTAATGAAAGTAAAACACGCTGGTTTTCCTGACAAGGCATTTTTTTTTAACTTTACTGTTCCACATCCACAGTACAATAAAACATATTTTAAAAGCATAGTCAGTTGAACATGTTCAAGAACTAAGATGCTAATGTTTGTACTCTATGTGATTGCAGTCACTGATGGCAAAAGCTGTGAGAGATATGTATGACACCAAACCCCCCCACCATCACCACCACACACACACACACACACACACACACACACACACACACACACACACACACACACACACACAATGACGTGAAGTTACGTGATAGCTGTGACTGAGATAAAATCCCACTATCTATTTAAAGGGGTTGAGGATTGAACTGAACACCCATCATGGAAAATTCTGAATTAAGTTGGTCCTTCCAAAGAAAAGCGAGCTTATCAAATTCCAACTGAATGTTATTACCTGAAAGAGGATGTGTGTGAGAGTAAAGTAGCTATAATGTAACTGAATTTACAGTCTAATGTAGTTATGGGGGGGGGGGTTGCTATTCAGGAAGGGGACCATTAAGGAACTATTTTCTACCATCAAGTGTTCACGCAATATCTGAACATGTTAATGCATTATTGTGTTAACGCATTCATTAACTGAGGCTTAACAATATTTTACTGCTGGCTCTGAACACACACCAGGGTCACAGCAGGGCTGAGGTCTTGATCATTTGTGAGTCACCAAGGGCTAACCAATGACTCTTTGAATCAGGACAAAGACTTATACAACACTCGTTTGAAAGAGAACAAAAGCACACATTTTACACACATTTTCCAAATTGTATTAAAAAGTTATTTGTAACCACTGCCAAGATGGATTCTTTATCACTTGTCATTTTGAGATTGAACTATAATATGAATTCAAACACACCAATGGTAGTTGTAGATTACTGCCCCAAACAAACAAACAGCAGAGACTTTGACAGGCTATTGCTGGGTTTCACATGACGTTGCATCCACATCACCAAATGCAGATGGGAGTATGGAAGTAGCCGGCACTGCACAAAACCCTATTTAGTTTGGTGACGGGTGTTAAAATGAAATTCTGTGCGGTCTAAGGTTTTTATAATTGCACAAATTGGGATAAAGACAAATGGTTACGACTCATCATAACCTAAAGGAAGGTTTTTTTTTTCTTCACAATATTGCGTCTGTGACAGCTCATTTAAAGCTTTAGAAAAATTGTTTTCATCCATCGCACGGTGGTTTGTAATGGAGCAAAACACTTCCTGCCCCCATTAGAGTTTTGCGAGACTGCAGAATCACGTGAGTGAAACCCAGCAATAGGTTATACTACATGTAGGAGAAAAGTAGCCTGGCAAGCCATCCCATAAATGTACCGAGAAATATATAGTCTGTCCATGACCCATAGACAGAGATGGTTGTGGTATAGAACGTACAGTTGTCTTTAAAACTGTTTCAATGCAAATAGACTGCAAAATGACCAGTCAGAGCAATGAACAACACAACATATTCAACTCTATGGAAATCATAGTTAAAGAAGAAGAAGGAAATGCATTATTATTTTTTTAATAAAGGACTCAAGATTCAGATTCAGGACGAGCAATGTGGTTCTCGTCCTGGCCGTGGAACACTGGACCAGCTCTATACCCTTAGGGGGATCCTGGAGGGTGCGTGGGAATTTGCCAAACCAATCCACATGTGTTTTGTGGATTCGGAGAAGGTGTTTAACTGCGTCCCTCGGGGGGCTCTGTGTGTGTGTGTGTGTGTGTGTGTGTGTGTGTGTGTGTGTGTGTGTGTGTGTGTGTGTGTGTGGTGGTGGGGGGGGGGGGGGGGTACTCCGTGAGTATGGGGTACCAGGCCCTCTGATATGGGCTGTTAGGTTCCTGTATGACCGTTATCCGAGCTTGGTCCGCATTGCTGGCTCCCAGTGAGAGTTGGACTCCGCCAAGGCTGCCCTTTGTCACTGATTCTGTTCATAACCTTAATGGACAGCATTTCTAGGCGCAGCCAAGGTGTTGAGGGCATCCGTTTTGGTGGCCTGAGGATCAGGTCTCTGCTTTTTGCAGATGATGTGATCCTGTTGGCTTCATCAGAACGTGATCTTCAGCTTTCGCTGGAGCAGTTTGCTGCAGAGTGTGAAGCAGCTGGGATGAGAATAAGCTCCTCTAAATCTGAGACCATGGTCTTGATCCGGAAAAGGATAGAATGCCTTCTCCAGATCAGGGATGAGGTCCTGGCCCAAGTGGAGGAGTTTAAGTATCTTGGGGTCTTGTGCACTAGTGAAGGAAAACTGGAGCGTGAGATCGATAGGCGGATTGGTGCTGCATCTGCAGTGATGCGGGCGTTGTACTGGTCTGTCGTGGTGACGAGAGAGCTGAGTCAGAAGGCAAAGCTCTCAATTTACTGGTCGATCTACGTTCCTACCCTCACCTGTGGCCATGAGCTTTGGGTAGTGACCGAAAGAACGAGATTGCGGATACAAGCGTCCAAAATGATTTTTCTCTGCAGAGTGGCTGGGCTCTCCCTTAGTGATAGGGTGAGAAGTTCGGTAGTCCGGAAGGGGCTCGGAGTAGATTCGCTGCTCCTCCACATCGAGAGGAGCCAGTTGAGGTGCCTCGGGCATCTGGTCAGGATGCCTCCTGGATGCCTCCCTGGTGAGGTTTTCTGGGCACGTCCAACCGGGAGGAGACCTAAAGGTAGACCCAGGACACATTGGAGGGACTATGTCTCTCACCTGGCCGTGGAACACCTTGGGATTTCCCCGGAGGAGCTGGCCCAAGTGGCTAGGGAGAGGGAAGTCTGGGCCTTTTGACTTATGGGCCATTCCCATCTGTACCGGGTCGGTCCGGGCCGGGTAGCGTAAGTTGTTTACATATCTGGGTGGCCTGGTATTTTTCCGGGCCAACCAAGGCTCATTCTCAGCCCTCTTCTTGAGGGGGTCTGCTTTAGGCCGACCAGAGCCAACACACCCAATGCTGACAACAAATTCACACCTTCCATAAGAGCAAGCCTCTGATTGGTGCGCAGAATCAGCCCACATGGACTTAAGGCAAGGCTGTGTGGAATCAAGCGGGCCAGGCTGGGGCCGACTGGGGCTACCAGGCCCGGGCTGACCCTGTACAGATGGGAATGGCCCATTAGGCTACTGCCCCCGTGACCCGACTCCAGAAGAGCAAATGAAAATGGATGGATGGATGGATGGATGGATGGATGGATGGATGGATGGATGAGGAATGGTTCTTAATCGGTAGATAAAAACATAGAAGGTAGGGGACACTGGGATTGTTACTTTATGAATTTTATTCATAAAAAACATAAAAAACAGATTTCAGTCACATAGATGGAATCTGTGGTTGTTTTTCAAACTGTCTCTGCTTGCAACTGAACAGTGCTGAGACCAATCAGAGTAACGACCAACGTGACATTAAGCTACAATGTAGTGCAGCTGCCTTGGGGCACATCAGCAGTGAGGCTGCCACACCACTGCTCCCTTCGGCCACAACCAGCAGGAAAGGAGGGGTGAAGGGACAATCTCAAGGACACAACAACTGTGACAGGCTGAGGGGCGCAGACCTGCAACCCTCTGGTTACGGGGCAGGAACTTCCTCTGCTACACACACCCCTTACAGTACAGTAGAGGATAACAGTCTGAGGAACATTATATAAGCTTTATGTGAGCCCTAATTTTCCCTTATGGTATGTTAGACAAAGCAACACTGTGTGAGCATACTAAAATGTACTTTTTGCATATTTTGGAACATTGAGGTGCATTAAGTATTTCTCAGTGTTTTGGGTTGTTTTATTTTCATAAAGGAAGTACTTTTGTTTCATTCCTATTAGGGCTGCAACAAACGATTATTTGGATAATCGATTAATCGGATGGGGTCTCGACACGATTAATCGATTAATCAGATTACATAGGGACATTTTTAAAAACTGCTAGGGAAATGTTATTTTTCTCCTTCCTTCACTTTATTAAACACAACATTATTAGAAAACAGTTCAATAGCAGAAAAACAACATGCCATCACCTAAATTGTCTTATAAGGTGTATAGACAGACACCCTAAGCTACACCAATCTGTGACCTAAAATGCTTGGTCCAATTAAACAGCTTAAAGAGCAAGTCAACCCCTACCAGAGTCTAACTCTACTCGCGCTTCATGTTTGAAAAATGCAACACATGCTGTTGCCTGGCAGACCGAGAGGGTGGAGCCGCTAACAAATACACACAGACTCAGGCTCACGACAGCATTGTGACATCATAATGTACCAGTTTACATCATAGCATACTTCTTAGCCAATAGCGGTGGCAGATTTAAATTAAAATACAGTGAAGAGTTTTTACCTGACAACGGCACAACACTGCCAGTTTTAGGCAGAA